TAACTTTTGATTGATTGGAGCTATGGCTTTCATATTTCACATGTGTATTCCTTGTGACAAGACCTTTCTTTGGGTACCACCATATTTGACCTCTTGACCTTAACCTAGGAATTTGACCCAGTTTTGCAAAATTTTTACCTTGGCCATAACTTTTGAACGATTGGTTCCAGGGCTTTCATACTTCACGTATGTAATCCTTGTGACAAGACCTTCCTTTGAATACCAACAACTTGGACCCTTTGACCTTGACCTTGGAGTTTGACATACTTTTAGAAAACTTTAACTTGGCCAAAACTTCTGAACGATTGGTGCTAGGGCTTTCATACTACATATATGTAATGCTTGTGACAAGACCTTTCTTTGGATACAAACAACTTTGACCCTGTGACCTTGACCTTGGAGTTTGACCTACTTTTGAAAAACTTTTACCTTGGTCATAACTTTTTAACAATTGGTTCTATGGCTTTCATATTTCACATGTATATTCCTTGTGAAAGGCCTTTCCTGGGCATCATTCATTGTAACCATTTGACCCTGACATTGATGTTTGACTTACTTTTGAAAAAACTTTAACCTTTTCCATATCTATTCAATGGTTGCTGATAGCGTTTTATATTTCACAGGTATGTTCCTCAAGACAAGACCTTACTTTGGGTACCAACATATTTGATTTGCATTTGAGAAAGTTTAACGTTTGCTGTAAGTTGCCATACGGGGGCATCAGTGTTTCACAAACACATCTTGTTTTTCTTAGCAAACTCTTCCATATTTTAAGATTGTGACTCTTTTTAGATATCAATAAGCACATATTCATAAACCAAGACCCAAGTACCTGTTGTATATTGGTCATCAAGGTAACTTCAAGTGTGCAAAATCAGTGAATACATATATGATCAAATCTACTGTTTTGTCATTAGAAATAGATTCAAACCTAAAATATGCCTATATCTACGGAAGCCCTGGAGGGACATTGACTTACTTGTTATGATTGATTTGTCAATGCTTATTTGTTGTGACTTATTTGTTTCGACTTTTTGTTGCTGGTTATAACTGTGTTACGTAGCTTTAGAGAGCGTGTAGCTTTGCTTACGTGTATTATTAAAATGATATGTTCAGTCCTAGTTGAAATGTAGTTTTTGATCGATTAATTGTAGTTTAAAGTCCAGTACAGTTGTGACTACTAAATGTTTATCTGATAATACATGTATCTTGTAACTTAATTCTTATTTGTAACTTCCAGTTTGCATAATGATTGAACACATGGACATGAACATAACTACTATTTTATCTTGTCGTTAGTAATAAATTCAAAGGCAAAATATTACTTTCTTCTTTTCTAAAACTACACGTAGCCTCCATCTTTCACACCACGTTTTAGGGTTAAGTAAATGTGTGATAACAAATTTAGAATAACAAGAATTAACAATTAAGTCATAAGAACTGGGTACATACCTCTAATTATTTTTAGAATCGGTAAGGGAAGAAAGTAGTTCACTAAAACGAAATAGTTGAAATAACTTTCAAGCAGTATATAAAATAAGTAGGTCATCTGAACTAAAGATGCTTGATATATATTAAAGAAGAGAAAATTCCAAGTTAAATCATTTTCATTATTGTGTTAACTTTGAAAGGAAAGGAATTGAATTGTTTGATATGTGCATACCCTGACTTTGGGAATTACCCTACTTTTTCTTTCTTTTTCAGATGTTTTTGCGAACATGTGCATTTTGCCGGAAAACGAATCTGACATGCCACCTCGAGATTTTAACCAGTGAGAGAAAATTTTAGGAGCTTTCATTTGAGGGGTGTCCCATCCTTCAACGAAAATTAGGGGAGGAGCTCTGTGAGAAAACGTTAACATTGTAGCCTATGGGAAATGTATTAGTGGATTGTACCCAACTAACTCAAAACACCAAAAGAAGTAAGTTAATGTCCCTCCAGGGCTTCCGTATATATCTTCTTTGCACGCCATATTAAACGTATGATAACAAATGTAAATTAACAAGAATTAACAATTAGTCAAAACATCTGAGAAGTATTAGTAAGTCAGTGTCCTTCCGGGACTTCCGTTACTCTTGGAAATTCAACCCAAGCCATGTTTTTCTCTTGTAATTGCAGGGATGTAACATGTCAAACCAGTTCTGCTGTTGATTTTGTCTGTGTATTTTTAGAAGAGACATCCTTGCTCATCATAATCATACATCTGATTTATCTTCTAAATGTACAGGGGGAGAAAAGAAGATTTTTTTTTTTAAAAGTCATACCTTTTCACCATGTGATCATTAGAGCCCCACCCTATCTCCAGAACCCATGACCCTGGGGCCACAAATTTCACAATTTTGAAAGAGGAACCTTTGATCATCATAACCATACATCTGATTTATTTGCTAAATATACAGGGGAAGAGAAGAAGTCTTTTAAAGAATTTATGCATTTTTACTATATGATCATTACAGCCCCGCTCTAACGCTAGAACCCGTGACCCTTGGGCCACAAATTTCTCAATTTTTGGAAGAGACATCTTTGCTCATCATAGTCATACATCTGATGTATCTTCTAAATATACAGGGGGAGAGAAGACGATTTTAAAAATATTTATGCATTAAATCATGAGAGCCCTGTCCTTACTCCAGAATCCCTGACCCCGGGGCCACAAATTTCACAATTTTGGAAGGACACTCTTGCTCATCATAACCAGGGACCTAGTTTATCTTCTAAATCTAGAGGGGGAGAGAGGAAGATTTTAAAAATATATGCATTTTAGCTATATGATCACTAGAGCCCCACCCTAACACCAGAACCCTTGACCCTGGGGCCAGAAATTGCACGATCTTGGAAGAGGCACCCTCACTCACTATAACCAGACATCTAATTTTTCTGCTAAATAAACAGGGAGAGAGAAGATTTTTTTTAAATTATGCATGTTCACTATGTGATTGTAAGAGCCCCACCCTAACTCCAGAACCCTTAATCTTGGGACCACAAATTTCACAATTTTGGAAGAGGCATCCCTGCTCATCATAATGAGGCACCTAGTTTAACTGCTTAATATACAATGGGAGAGAAGACGATTTTTAAAGAATTTATGCATAATCACTATATGATTATTACAGCCCTATCCTAACTCCAGATCCCCTGACCCTGGGGTCTTGAATTTCATAATTTTGATAGAGGGCTCAATGCGTATTACAACCATGCCAATAGTTAGACTGCTTGATGTCCAGGAGTAAAGAAGAAGATTTCTAAAGATAGCATTAATTTAAATGGTTTTATCCCCAACCCGCAGGCCGCAGTGGGGCAGGGACCATGAAATTCACAAAGTTTGTGCCCCTTCACCAACTAATGCTATATGCCAAAACTAGTTGAAATTGGTTCAGTGGTTCAAGAGAAAAAGATGAAAATGTTCAAAAGTTTACGACCGACATGCCCCGGACGACGACGGACAAAAACAGATAGCAATAGGTCACCTGAGTGACTCAGGTGACCTAAAAAACCTATAAACAGTACAAATCTGTGAAGACGGCTTAAAACAAGGACTCCTGGAAAGCCATAGAACCAATTGTTAAAAAGGGTCAGGTGCCTAGGAGGAGTAAGCATCCCCTGTTGATCTGTCACACCTGCCGTGAGCCCTATGTATTGATCAGGTAGACGGAACGTTCCATAGTCAAGTTCAAAAACAAAAGCCTTACAATTTGTATGAAGCCAAAAAACGACCGAATTATAGGTTATATTTGTTAACAAGGTCATTATAACGACCATAGAATCTACAAATGCTGACTTTAAAGGAATTTCTTTAAATCCCTGTAATATCAACTTATCTGTCAGTAGCCTGCCTCGGTTTATAAATTGATCGTACTCGGAGCATGTTCTTGAGTATCGGAATAAGTTGGGAGTTGTAAACACCATATGCAGGTGATAGCGGGATATTACTACATAAATAAAGAAAGTTGACGATGGAAAAGCTGAAGTCGTCTCGTTTGTTATTCAATTTAGTTATTACTTGGCCCGTATCGGCTACCGGGTATTATATTTAGTAAAACATCCAAATTTAAAACAGATGTGGCAGACACTGTGGTGTCTTTTATTCAAAGTTCACTGATATGTATTATATGTAGTCGACATATAAATGGAAGTAACTACATGTATTATTAATATATCGTCAATATTAATATCTAAATGTCGACATGAAGGCCACAGCAAGTGTATTCTTCTTCTTATGTAGAAGTTTTTGAATCAATTCTGCTTCACTGGAATATAAAAACAGGTCGGCTTGTCGTGGAGCACAATTAGTGCCCATCGAAATTTCAACAGTTTGTTGGAAGACTTGGTCTCCGAAGACTACACAAATGTCATCCTTTCAAGATCAACTTCAGAGTACTTCGGTGTAGAGTCAGAATGATTTTAACAAAGTTATTTTGTTGGTGACCAATTACAAGGTACGAAAATTTCTGACTTCCAAAGCAGTTGTCTATAATATCAAAAAGCCTAGTTTTTAATTTATCGTGAGGAATGGTTATATAAAGTGTAGAAAAGTCGTACATTTTGATGTTACTGACTTATGAAAAAGTCTTCTAAAAGTTTTTGGAGTTTTTGAGAATCTACATCTGATTTACACCAATTCTAGAATATACTGAAGCACAGTACGTCTGAAGTTTTTCCTTTACATTAACAGTTAATATTCTTGTAAAGAAGTAAAGATAGGGGCTTGATAAAGAATTTGCTCTAGCATTTAATGATATTATAGATATAGCAGTGCATGATATTTCGAATTTCTACATTATATCGGGTATGCAATATATTAACTGGCACAGGCGGTTTTTTTTAATATTCAAACAAAAACGTAATCACTATATTAATAATATTTTAAATTATACAAATAATTTTTCTCTGTATTACGAAAGTAGTGTAGATATGCAGTTGAAATAATTCTTATTTTGTATGTGTTGACTTTTAAGATTTTCTCAAATGTCTATGTAAGGTTCAAAATTTCATAAACACACCTTCACACAAGAAATCCTCGGTAGCGGTACAGTCATGGTGTATCCATAGCAGTGAGGCACCCCATTCCATTTTGACGCAAGCTTTATTCACATCATCGACTGGAGTAGAAGCGTTCTTCCAAGGGGTGTTGTAAAATTGGCCCCAGGAGAGTGTAGTTCCGTCTATCCATTTATACACCATTCCTGCCTGTGAAGCATCTCTTTCTAAACCTATCCATACATTCTTGTCTTTTCTGCGCAAAATACAGCATGTGGAGATTTAAAATCCTACTATTTTGTCTTATCGCTAAGTGATATTCTCAGATCTATTTAATTTGACTGTCTTTTTTTAGCAGCAAGGTCAGGTCAATGTCATTATCTTTTTCCTTGCCATTAAGAACAAAAAAATACTAGCGATTGTTGTCAATCATACAATGTCCTCTTCGATTGTAAAATATATGCTTTTCTTTTTGCATGAACAGATAATACTACATATGATCTATCAGATAATTTGACCAAATTTAGTAAAATCATTTCATTAAATTAAGTATCAGCAAACCCCAAAAATTCCTCTAATTTCTTAATGCTTTATCAGATTGTTCTTATTTTCACATACGGTGAAGAGGTCATATAAAGATTTCTTTGTAAAAGTAACGAAAAAAATGCCCACCCCCTCCTTTTCCAAAAATAAGGGACCCATCTTAAAAAGGGAAGAAGAATTATGTTATTGAAGAAAATTGACTAAGGCAGTTTTGCTGATTTTCACTCAAATCTGGAAGCTTACAAAGCTTATACTGTAGTTTGTGTGGTAAATAACATTTATAATATGGTCCTTATTAATAAATTTCATTTACTTCAGAAAATTCTTTATGTCCTTGTTTAAAAATGTGAATTAAATTCATTATTCTGAAGTAAATTTTAAGAGCAGAACATCTGATATTTTCCTACACAACTGTTCCACAAAAATATAATCCCTGTTTGATTTTAAACACAGTTTATGACTTTTATGTCTAATGTACAGTTGTGAGGAGAGAACAATATGTTTTAAATTCCTTTAGCTTACGTTTCAATATTTATGATATTTGAGCAAATATATACTTTGAATGTTTTAATTAGTCAGGCACCAAACAGAAACCCCTTAAAGTTAATTAGACCATGTTGATTAAATCGTATAATTGCTTAATTGCCTCCGTTCACAGATGCCTTGTATAACTTAAGTTTACTGCTTGCATAACATACCACACCTTATTCTCAAGTACACATTTACAAAGAACAGAATTATATAATTGTGTATAAGTATCATTACTTGATCACTCATTAAACAAGAGCCCAAGGGCCTAGAATCGTTATTTTGATACATTGTACAATTTATTATTTCTAATCCATACCTCTTAGTATCCTAAATATTTCGATAAAGACTTGAAATTCCAAAAGCAGGTCATCATGACCTACTTTTTGATTAACACACTCTAAAAAAGATGGATGATTCCAAACTTCTTATTATCCGAAATATTTAGATATAACCTTATACAAAAGGTAGGTCATTGTGACCTCCGTTTTTGTTGGAACAATCTGAGGACCCAACTGAATCAACTAAGCAGGTTAATGATTCAAGCCTTTTATTATCCTAAATATTGAGCTAATTGCGTGCAATTCCAAACCTAGCTCACAGTGACATACCTCTTGCTTGAAACACATCAAGGATCAAAATACATCAACTGACAGAATTTGATTATAATGCAAAATATTGAGATAAAAATGGTAATTCATTGAATAATTTTTAATTTACAACAGATACTCATACTTATGCATAAGTATGCTGATAATCTGCCCAGTGGTTACAGTGAAGAAGATTTGTTAGCAAACACTAACTTTTGTTTTTATTTCCCTAAAGATCTCCCCTTGTTTAAGGACCACATTCCTATTTTTAGTACAAATAGGAGCCCTTGGGCCAAGGATACTCTGTGACTTTGACAAAAATTACTCAAGGGGTTCTTAAGATATGGCCCATATTACAGAAAGTTAATATACATCGCACAAATGGCCATAGCATAAACTCTTCCGTTTGAGCCTTCGGCTCAGGAAAGCTAAAAATTGTTAATAAATTTGATCTTTTTGTGCTTTAATAGAACTGACTGCAATAATAATAATAATAATAATTTAAAAAAATAAAATAAATAAAACACAGTTCCCTCTGTTCTTAACGCTTTTTATGTCAAGAAGTTTAAGTACTACATGTACTCTGTAGTGTTACCACATCAAATTCCATATCTATGCATGTTAAGTTCAAACCCTAAAAGATATGGTTTGGTGTGTAATGAGCAGACAATATTAATGTTAATTGTACTTTACTATACGTACCCCCATAGAGAGTTGTATGTGTTAAGAAAGGCTTTGCCTGCCTCCCACTCAGACTGTGTGTTAAACACGGCCAGCCTCATCCCCAGGGCCTCGCACTCAGCTTTGGCCTGGGCTACAGTCACGTCAGTACTTTTACCATAATAAAATCCTATTAAAACAAAACATTTCATTTATTGTTTAACAATCATGCTTGTGAAATTGATTCCCAAGAAGTTTTGGATCTTCTGAAGGATCAATGGCCTAAACAGTATAGGAATACAGAAAAGCCTTAATTAGCAAAAGTTGTAGTGCAATCCGTCTAAACATATAAAATCGTTATACCTAACGTTGATAAAGCCTCAAAATTCTCAAATTCTTTCAAGTTTATGAAATTCTTGACATTTTTAACGACAGTTATTACCATGCTCAAACCTTGAGTGCTCAAATTATATTAAATCTCCAACTTTTAAAAGTAATACTATCAAGATTTCAATATAGAAGTATAAAACAAAATTAACTGATAGATGAAGCTATGTGGCCAAAGATTTTCAAAAATCTGGTAAAAAATACCCTTGCTTAGTGTAACATGCGAGACCCGAGTGATCTCCTTGGGATTGTACTTGGTTTTCCCAAGTCTTGAAGGGATGATAATGAATGCAAAATATGCAAATACAATGGACACTTGTCTAGTGTGTATGGTATTCAATATATAGATATGTGTCTGTCACTTGCCCAGTGCTACAATTCAGTACACAAATAGAGACTTGGCTATACAATGTGCCTATTTGACACTTGTCACTAACTACATGTCCCCTAGTCACCCTGGCTCTCTGTGATTATTTGTTCACTTTGATACAATATACAGCAACTTTATCCGGTCTCTTCTCAACCATGAATTTCTCTGACAATATTTACATTTCCAATGTCTTTGTCCGAGATAAAATTACAAATTGTAAAAATACTTTATTTCTGCATAAATCTACTGGTTCATCGATAAGCGCGGTTAAAAAAAAATCACGTGCGGGGCGGGACAAATAGAGACAGAAGCGGGGCTATTAGTACGGGAATTTGCAGAATCAGGAGCATGTAAATATAAGGAATAACTGTCAGATTTTTTGGATTCATGATGTGATCAATCGAGTGGCTTGCGTGATAATTTTAAGCATAAATGCCTTCGGCGTTTATGCAAATTATCACGCAAGCCACTCGATTTTCGGCGTTTATGCAAATTATCACGCAAGCCACTCGATTGATCACATCATGAATCCAAAAAATTAGACAGTTATTCCTTAAATAACTCATCAACTGTCAAACAGGACTACAGTAAAAACATACTGTGTGAAATTGGACCCTTTGCTTCATGGATATATGTATGTTTTCCAGGTAAGAATCCGATGCTTTGCTCATTTAAACCATATATATATTGTATTATACTGAATGTTTTACACAAATACATATTACAGTGAACCTTGCGCGCATAAATTCTGCGCAGTCAATATTTTTTGGAATAACACCCGTCGTCAAGCAATGTTAACTGTTGCTATGCTGGAGAGCGTGGCTTCATTATTCAGCGGGTAATAGTGTTTTTTTAACAAATGTTTCTCGACGAATCAGATTCAGCTAATTTACATGAAAGTATAATATAATAGACTTTAATAATAAATATTATTCAAACTACGAGGGTTGTTCGGAATGTTCGTGGACTATGCCAATCTTCGTTATCTTATCTTCAAAAAATTTAAAATGAGTACATTATCATATGTAAAAATATTTATTTTGTTAAAGTGTGAAGTTTCATTCCATGTGATTTAATAGAATTCATGTGATTTAATTTTAAAATCAACACATTTTGTAACCTCGGAGCAAACTCAGCAACACTGTAACGTCAAAAACATACATGTATGGACATGAAGTTCTCAAAAATACTATTCCTATATATATTTCACACAGTATTGCCCAATACCATTGCACTCATTAAAAACGTTTCTCCATTACTTGAAGTCTATTTTGCTAACAATTGTTCCAGTAGCATCATTTTGTTTGTCAATATTATATTTTTTACTGCAAGATCAGCATCTGTGAAAGGCAAATTCTTAGCATAACTTTACTAACTTTTCTGTTTTTGATAATATTTTTACAGATAATCCGTTTACTAACAGATCACCATCGTCTAAGCAGAGTAGTCTATCATTCAAATAGCTCTTGTACCATGAACACACTCATGCATGGTTCGCTTTTGACGTATTTCCTAATTTCTCCGGCATTTTCAGAGTTTTTTGCAGGAGTTTTCCAGAGTACAACACAAAACTGTGTGGTTATCTGCTGCTCTGTGACGTTCTGCGACGTCATCTTTTTTTTTTTTTTTTTTTTTTTTTTTTTGCCTTTTTCAATAAGAACTACCTTTCTTCTTAAACTGATTTCTTTTCAACGAAGCAAAATATTAAGTCATAATTTGGAATCAGAAGCGATGAAAGAATTCTTAATTTGAACGTGTACAACTTTTCCGTTTTTGTGTCATTCTACAGAAGATACGGCTTCAGACATTACTTAGTGTCTTGGTTGTAAATGACAAAATTTTGACCTGCTCCGTGATCCGATGTTCGCATTTTTAAAGTCTAAATAAGTTTGAAATAAACCACAATAGTTTAGAAATTTTTAATACACATCATTTGAATTTACTGTTGAAATATTTCTTCCAAATTTGGATATAATATGACGTTAAGTAAAAAAAGTTATGACGGTAATCTACGAACTTTCCGAACAACCCTCGTATTTTGCAAATATTTACTGCCTTGATTACAATGATAAAGGTTAAGGTGATTAACCTTAAAGTTACAATTTAAGTGCTAAAAGGTCAAGTTTATTGTACTCTTGCTCTGTGAGATGCACACTAACCCCCAAATTAAATAATTAGATGATTAAATATCTTATAAAATTGATATAATGTACATTTTCTTCGCTTAATGTTATCCAAAAAAAATCTTCAAATTTCCGAAGTCTATGAAATTGGACGTGCTTTTTTAAAAATCATATTTGATAATTTTAAAAAAATGTAACAATTTTTACCACATTTTGATTTTTTTTCTCATATTCAAAATGATATAAAAAGTATTAGCTTACGGTGCAATCCGAAAACAAAACAAGTAAACTTTAATGAATCAAATTTAAAAATTGATGTATTATGAATCATTTCAGACATTCTATCATTATGGCGGCGGAATTATGATACAAAATCAGTGCATCTATGAAATTAATGTTTACTATAATGTACTCCAGCTTGGTAGAGGTTCACGGCGAGATACTTTTGAATAGGCGCCGCGGGAGCGTAGGGACCTTAACCGAGGCTCTTACTTGTAGGAGTAACTATAATGCTGCATTATATCATTACTGTATTTTATATCAGTATTGGCTACCACAAAGAATTCCTTCGTCTTTGAAGACAAGGCAAATCATACTAATCCTGTACTAGTATATTAGGTATTATATTGGAATGATATTCGATTGGTGAAATATTTATATAATTGATATGGTTCACAAGAGTAGAATAAACAATTGAAGTGTTAGAGCTTCTGGCTTTTTGTGGCTGTTCAGTCGATTACAAAAGCTCTTACAGTTAAAATGTTAATTCGAGTCTTGTGAAACTTGATTTTATTTAATTGGATATAAATAAATAATTAAATAAATACATATATACCTGAAGCAGGTAACCATCTTATTACAAATCCCAAGATAAAAGCACCTGTCTCAATCTTCATTTTCTGTGTCGAATAAAAGTATTGTTGATAAATTAGCAAGGCCACTTTATTCACCATCGATATCAATAATTGAGCAGGCATTACGCTTTTCTTTTAAAGTAAATAAATGAAGGAAAACAAAACACGACAAATACTACTACAAAAGAGACATCGATTTAACTCTTGTACCCAACATTTGAAAGTTGGAGTATCAAATAATATAAACCTGTAAGGAATACAAGAAACAATCAATAAATACAAATTTTGTTGCTTTTCAAAATTGGACCGAAGAATTGAATTACAATTAATATGTAATTCAAAGATATTTTATCTATTTATTTAGTCTGAAAATGTTTATAACGTCAATCGATGACTAGTATTAATTGTAACGGGAACCGTTACAGATGTTCCCCAAACGCTCCCCACCTTCCTTTTGGTGTCTTATTCCCTGTAAGCTTCATTAAATAAAGCAATCAAGTAAATTGGTTTTTTTTACGCATTACACTTGCGCGCACGGGCATGCATGTACGAAATGACCATGTCAACTTGTCTACACTTTTAATACATCTTTATATTCAAATTTCATCAAAAGATAAAAAAAAAATCGGCTATATTAAGTATATCTGGCATTTTACGCTTTGCATGCGCGCGCACGTGCATGTATGTCCATGACGACCGTGTCATATTGTCAACACTATTAATATATCTAAATATTTTGAGTATCAAAGCATTTCATCAAAAAGTATAAAAGTTACAGCTATATCAAGTATATTGGTCATTTTAGCAATGCATGCGCGCGCACGTGCATGCATGTGCATGTTGACAATATCGTCTTGTCTACATTTATAATAAGTCTCTATATTCTGAGTATCAAAACATTACATCAAAAAATGTTTCAAAGCAATTTATCAAAAAAAATGTACAAGATAGTCTATATCAATTGTATTGGTTTTTCAATCATTGCGCACGTGCATGCATGTGCATGCTGACCATGTCATCTTATCTACACTATTAATATATCCTTATATTCTAAGTATCAAAGTATTTTATCAAAAGATATGAAAGTTTTAGCTATATCAAGTATATTGGTCATTTTACTCATTGCACGCGCATGAAAGTGCATGCATGTGTGCGCTGATCATGTCATCTTGTGTACACTTCAAATATGTATTTTTATTCTGAGTTTTAAAGCAATTCATCAAAAAATGTAAAAGTTAAGTCTATATCATTTGTATTGGTAATTTCAATCATTGCACATGCGCACACGTGCATGCATGTGTACGCTGACCATGTCATCTTGTCTACACTATTAATATATCCTTATATTCTGAGTATCAAAGTATTTCATCAAAAGATATGAAAATTATGGCTATATCAAGTATATTGGTTATTTAAATCATTGCACGCGCACGCACGTGCATGCAAGTGCATTCATGTGTGCGCTGATCATGTCATCT